TCCTCACCTCTCCCGTAAGATCCTTATGCAAAGAAAATTTGAGTTCAGATCCCCTGGGTCTGGAAGATGATTTGGTGGAAACATTTTGTTTGGGCCTAGGGTTGTCAAATATTGATAGCAAAGCTGACGTCATTTTAGAAGCCTATGTTCAAGGTGAATGATTTGCATGCGGTGATCCCATGGGTTTCGAAAAAAGTTCTTTTATTACTATATCAATGTATTTGAGGATTTTAGGGTTGGCATCCCCTTTACTATCTTAAGACAAATATTTTATGGCTATTCATGTCTCCTTAATGGATCTATGCTTGAAGACATCATGTCTTCAACAATTTATTTGTCTTTGATGATGACAACAGTACTCTAAAGTGAAGTCTTCATTAGAGTGATGATGGAGGCTTTTGGTTTTGATGATGATAGGTTAAATTTCCATATGATGTGATGTGTAATATGTGATGCTTGGAGATAACGATAATATTTGATGTAATCAAGTAGGGGTGCTTGAAGATCAATATTTCATTTGATGTAATGATTAAATGGTGGTGCTTAAAGATTAATTTATTAAAGCCTCTATGGAGGTCAGTAAAGATATTAATCAAGTTATATGTTTGATGACAAAGTATATCATAAAGAGTTATCTCACGCGCCATCAGGAAGAATATTCAAAGTTCCAATGAAGTGCTAAACTCAAAGATGATGCAGCAAGAAACTTGAAGCTTCAGAATTGTAAAAGAGAGGAAGTGTGAATGCTTGTTATGTTTATGTCGAGTGAAATGTGTTTGTAAAGGTATATTTAAGGGCATTATTGTATTATCTCATTGGGAGAATTTTGTTTTGATTGTGAACTAAAATAATTAAAATGTTGTTGTTTTGTTGTTGAGGTGAATGTTTTAAAACCTTTGTTGTACCGAGATTGTCCTAGTGGTAAAATCTATTAGTTGTAAGGTGTCATGTTGTTTTGTTGTTGAGGTGAATGTTTTAAAACCTTTGTTGTACCGAGATTGTCCTGGTGGTAAAATCTATTAGTTGTAAGGTGTCAGTAATTAAAACTCTCATGTTTTAATATGAGGAAGTCTATTTTAAAATCTGAGTCTTTTTTGGTAGGAGGTTCATGGTAAAAACTAGTCAAAATTTCACATTATTGTGGAAACTCTAGAAAAGAAATTCTTTGGGAGAGGAGTAGGTCAAATATTTAGGCCAAACCTCTACAAATCTCAGGTGCATCTTTCTTTTACCATATAACTTTACTTTTCAGTTATTTAATTCCAATTCATTTCCTTCTCTCTGATTTACTTTATTCAATTTCTTATTTCTGATTTATTTTATAAAAGTGTTTTCAACTCTAAATTTATCAAAGATTTTTATTCAAATAACATTTTTCAAAGCCACACAATTCACCCCCTCTTGTGTTCACAGTCACTTGTGCAACAAATACTACCTTTGATTATAATATTCTTTGGTTGTCCAACTTTTCCCTTTCCCAGTTACATTAAAATAGATGTACATTCGTCCAAGGATTCCAGATCCTTTGCTAAAGGTGTGTTCATTTCAAGTTTTTAAATCATATTCTTTGGAATGATATTCCCAGGATTATTATTTCTAGGAATATTATTCCTACTTATGTGTTTGGTAGAAATTAAATTTTCTTAGGAATAATTGTAAAATTGTTTAATTTTAAATTATAAAAAATTAAAAATTAAAATAAATGTGATTGGTAGTGGGAAGTTATAGTTGGTTGAATTTATTCCAATAGGAATATTATATTTCCACCCTTTAAGCTTTGAAATAAAAAGAGAAGAATCATCTGTAAATATGATTCTTGGGAATAAAAAGTACCTTGAAATAATTTTTTAAAACATGAATGAAACATAGGAATATTGCATTCCCATAGTCATATTTCTAGGAATATTTTTTTCTAACCTTGAAACAAACACACCCTAAGGGTTGGATGTTACACCAACTGTATAAATATTCTTTTTTATGAGATGAAAGAAGATCTCAGGGTGGATGGGTCTCTGTGAGCTCCATCTTTGGTTTGGTCATCCTTTCTCTTTATATCTTCAATTACAAGAATTGGAAATACAAGTTTGATTTGTTATGGTCAAAGGTGGCACCCGAAGCCCTAAAGCTTTCTTTTAGAATGAGAGGTCCTCTAGATTTCCCTTTATTGGGCAGGAGAGCCTCTCAAAATCACATACTTTCTTGTAGCCAAACTCAATGATACTAAGAGAGAGGTTGTGGAATTATTGGGGTGATTCTGTACTATATGAAGGATCTATATAAATACGAAGTAAAACAATCCTATTTCATCTTAGATAAGGTGTTATTCTTCTAAAATTTTGACTATTTACCTTTAGTCGATATTCACTTACCTATTTTGTTTTAGGAGAAAAGATGATTCATATTTTAGTGGTTACAAATAATGAAATGATGTCAATGGAAAAGGCTCAAGGGGTGAAACTCAAATGGTTCATCATAGTGATCTCGCTGGATTTTAAACTCGGGTGACCAAGAATAGGAAGAAAGGGGATGAGGGTAAAATAGTGAAGATGGTTCTTTTAAACAACATTAAGTTTGTTTTAACAGTAGATGGTGCGAAGTCGACTAATGCAAAAAATATAAAGGTTGATCTTGAAAATCTTGTTGCGCTTGAGGTCGAGATATATAGGGTTAAACAATTAAACAAAGATAAACTAGCGGAAAAATAGGAATGAAGTACTTAGAGGAAATAAAATTAAATAAAAAAAATAAAAATAAAGAGATGGGACTAGAGAGATTGCACCATGATTTATACAGGTTCAACCTACCACTTGACCTATTCATGTCCGCAAAAATTTATTCTTGAGAAATCTACTAATAAAATATCTTGAAGTTTTATGGATATTCCCACAAACCTTCTTACAACAAAAGAGATATTTTATATAAGTTGATCCCACAAACTAAACAGAGAGATTTTAACTATAAAATAGCGTGAGAAGAATGATAAGTTGCAAGATGCTTCAAAATTATTCTCAATGTAAGTTCTTCTTCAAATATAACACAATTGTTCATATAATTATTTTCCTAACCAATTTTTAGAACTTATATGATCAGTATAGGGTTTAGTGAAATGAGCAACCCACATTAGATTTAATAAACTCAAATTGTTTTGATCCCTCGGTTTATGAGATAATCGAGGTGAAAATATGATATATTTGTCGGTGAAATTACAAAACCAAGGGGACATGTGTTTTCGCCATTTAAGAATTCCAAAAGGGTATCCCTGGGGATCGAACCCATGATATTTTCACATACTCGTCTGTTTTTTTAAAAGTCGAGAGGTAAAGTTTGTACTTTTCATGATGTCCTTTGTTACCTCACCTATGTAGCTGAGATTAAAGGTATTTCACGCCCGAGGTTAAATGTGTTTTTTCTAGTAGTAAACTTGCTTACAACAAATGAAATATTTTACACAAGTTAGCCCCATAATATACACGAAGCTTTTAAACAAACTAGTAATCACTTAGGTACATGCATAAAACATATTCAAGTGATTTTATAAAATGAGAAATGTTTTAAAAATATTTGAGTATGTGTGTGCGTGTGTACGTGAATGTTGTGTGTATGTGCGAGCATGTGTGCGTGCGCGTGTGTGTTGCCTTGGTTTCTTAGGAGTTACTCTTTTACCTTTACAATACACTGATCACTAAGACACATGACCAAACGAACTTTCGCACTATCTCTCTTTCACAACGTTGAAACTTCAAATTTCTCTGCTTGATTCATCATTTATTTGACACTTCATATGGAGCATGACTCTTCTACTAATGAAGTTTGATATTACTTCTATGTTAGACACCATCTTTAAAGGTTGTTGGAGCAAAGATTTTTTTAAACTTCATCAAATGTTGTTTGACATTAGATATTATCATCATCAAAATCATCACAAAAACATATTTATAAATATACTTACATGCACATATATCCACATCCTCATAAGCAAAAATAAACAAATTGAAAAAATCGTCATCGAGAATCCTTTTGAAGCTGCCCCAAAACTAGATATTCACAAATTAATTTTCATTTCTCTCCCCATGTGCATTCCTTTTCCCATAGTGATCCAAGGGCAATTCCATATATTTTACACTTACACCATATAAAATACAACATGTGCATGTATTGGTGTGTGTCACAAAAAAGAAAAAAAAAAACAAATATTAAACATTCTAAAAAACACAAAATCGTATAGAAATACGGTATAAGTGTCATCCCTAGTGTAAAAATTCCATTTCTCAAATCTTAAAGTGATGCAATCTTTCCTAACCCAAAAAGACAACATCTCCACTTAGAAACAATTAACACACCATGTCACTGTTAACCCAACAACTATTAATTTCTTGCAATATGGTAAAATATAATTTAATTATTCTGAATTAGTTTCATTTCATACTAAACTTGTATTGATAATATTTGATTGACCTATTTAATTATGATTGAAAGTATTTTCAATTATATTACGTTTTCTTAAATGTGTTTGGAAGGGTGTCATAGCCTTCGAATGTGAAATTTTCTCAATAAATATTTCTTTATTAGAATGACATGGACTCGTAGAGTGTGTCTCCACTAAATAAAATAAATACTTTTATCCCAAAAAAAAACAAGCATCTCTAACTAAACTAGGTGATATCTTAGATGTTTGAAACATCATATGAGTACATGAATCTTTAAAAGATATCTCATGTGACTACATAGTATTACAGTCACTACTAGGAATCTTTAAAAAAAACAAAAAAATAGCTGACATATAAAGGACTTTTTTTTGCTTTTTCTTTTTCTTGGTGCTATCTAGCTCAAAGTATGCGCGTTAATGAGCTGGTAAAGGAGGAAAATGAAAATGGGGAAAGGAAAGTGGTTCATGCCATCACTATATAAATAGCCTTTAGTCTTAGTCGTAATGCATTCATTCCAAACATATTGGTTCCTTCAACTATTTTATGCTTCCTTTGTTATCTACTCCATACACCATGGAGGTTGAAAATTGCAACTGTCTAGGGTCAAGAAACAACAATATTTGGTCAAGTTATGAGAGAATTGGCCATGACCCTATTGTATGTGTCAATGAATTTATGAGTAAAATTAAGATTGTAAAGTTGAAAAACCTCTGGAGGAAAATCAAGAGAGAAAAGAAGATGAAAAATTTTAAATCATCTTCATCTGTGTATCTCTATGATCCCTACTCATACTTACAGAATTTTGATGATGGTTATTTCAATGATCCTGAATATTTTTCAGTATCATTCTCAGCCCGATTTGCAGCACCAAACACCAAAATGTTTGTGAAGAATATTCAAGTGAGGAATGATGAAGAAATATTGGAGATCAACCATTAGAATATATATATATATATATATATATATATATATATATATATATATATATATATATATATATATATATATATATATATATATATATATATATATATATATATATATATATATATATATATATATATATATATATATATATATATATATATATATATATATATATATATATATATATATATATATATATATATATATATATATATATATATATATATATATATATATATATATATATATATATATATATATATATATATATATATATATATATATATATATATATATATATATATATATATATATATATATATATATATATATATATATATATATATATATATATATATATATTTCTAAATTTGGACTCAAATTTTTGATTTTTGATTTTCTTGTGTAATAGTTGTACAAAGGCTTGAGTAATTCATTTTAAATCTATTTCAAATGATATATCTTGTAAAAGTGATATTCTAAATGATGATTTCATTTTTCTTTATTTGGTTATATTTCATTTTTCTTATTTTGACTATATAACTTTTTATATTAACATAAAAATTAATTTTTAACAAGTAAAATAAATTAAGTACGCACTACAACAAATAACGTCTTTTATCTCAATTAGAAAATAGGTCTTACTTCGATTTTACAGGCGAAGTACCAAAGGGCGTTATGAAAATGTACATTTTACCGACCGCTATGTGTAAAGGTCATGTGCTCGGTCCCCAATGGCGAAAACACATGTCCTTTCAGTTTTTGTCATTTCACCGATGAATATACCGTATTTTCACCTCGGTTATCTCATAAAAATGAGGGGTAAAACAATTTTGAGTTTGTTGAATCTAATGTGGATTGTTTATTTCACTAAACTCTATACTGAAAATATAACTTCTCAAAATTAGTTAGGAAAATAATCATATGAACAAATGTGTTATATTAAAAGAACAACTTACATTGAATAGTGATTTTAAAGTATCCTGCAACTTATCATTCATCTCACGCTGTTTTTATGGTGAAAACTTCTCCAATGTTTCAAGTTCTTTATACGACACTTCTTTTTCTACTAATTCATTCTTGAAAGCATAAAATTTGATGCTTTGAAAATTGAACAAATATGGAAAAAAGCTAAATGAAAACTAAGAGTATTTGAGAGATTTTAACAATAAAAGAACATGAAATGAATGATGAGTTGCAGAATGTTAGAAATTTTTTAATCAATTAAAGGTATGTTTCAAATACAACACAAATTTGTATATGATTATTTCTAAAATCAATCTATTAGATTACATGTTCAAAGAGAGGTTAGTGAAACAAACAATCGATATTAAATATAATAAACTCAACTCGATAGAACAAGATGAGAGTTGCATAATGAATCACAAAAAACATAATCTCAATATCAATATCAACAATAAAAATAACACGAAAACAATAAAAATATCAACAACAATATCAAGAATAACAACATTAATAAACAATCAACAACAATATTAATAACAACGACGCCAATAAACAACGTCTAGTGTTTAGGGTCTCAACAAGAAGATGAAAAACATAGAAATGTTTTACATATATTATACAATAACAAAATGTGATTATGATGAACACAAGTAACATTGACATTGAATATTTAATTTTATTGATTACCCATGTAGACATAATTTATTTGTCATTCATTTATAGTCTTTAAACTATGTGCCTTACTGACGAACACAATGAAATTTGGTGATAGAGAGGAAACATATTGAACATATTTACATCTAATTTACCATAATTCAATGTGAAAATGGTAAATATAAATAAATTTGATCTTGATTTTTTAATTTTAATTTTTACATATATTATATAAAATATATGTCATGGATTATACTCTTTTAACTTTGTTTTTGGGTGGGGGAAAACCTAAAATTTTGTGATGGAGTAGAAAAACAAAATATAACTAATCGTTAACATTTACTATAGTCTATTATGTTTTTCTGCTTAGTGATAAAAAAACCTAAAACTTTGGAATGGTGAGGAAAAATATAGAATATTTTTAGATGTAATATACCATAAGTCAATGTGAATACAATGAATATAGATAATATTGAGCTTGATTATTTTATTTTAATTGTTCTACATACATGTAGATTACGTGTCATTTATTTGTAGTCTCTTAACTTAGTTTCTCAGAGGTGAAGAAACCAAAATTTTGGTGATGGAGAAGAAGAAAAACATAGAAATTTTTTACATCTATCATACCATAATAAAATGTGATTATGGTGAACACAAATAACATTGAGATTGAATATTTAATTTTAGAGATTACCCATGTAGATATAATTTATTTGTCATTCATTTATAGTCTTTTAACTATGTGCCTTACTGACGAAGACACATGAAATTTGGTGATGGAGAAGAAACATATTTAACATATTTACATATAATTTACCATAATTCAATGTCAAAATGGTAAATATAAATAAATTTGAGCTTGATTATTTAATTTATATTTTTACCTAGATGTCATGGATTATACTCTTTTAACTTTGTTTTTAACTATGTGCCTTACTGACGAACACAATGAAATTTGGTGATGGAGAAGAAACATATTGAACATATTTCCATCTAATTTACCATAATTGAATTTGAAAATGGTAAATATAAATAAATTTGAGCTTGATTATTTAATTTTAATTTTCACCTATATTATATAAAATATATGTTATGGATTATACTCTTTTAACTTTGTCTTTTGGTGGGGGAAAACCTAAATTTTGTGATGGAATAGTAAAATAAAATATAACTAATCATTTACATTTAGTATAGTCTATTATGTTTTTCTGCTTAGTGATAAAAAAACCTAAAACTTTGGGATGGTGAGGAAAAATATAGAATATTGTTAGATGTAATATACCATAAGTCAATGTGAATACAGTGAATATAGACAATATTGAGCTTGATTATTTTATATTAATTCTTCTACATAGATATAAATTATGGGTCATTCATTTGTAGTCTCTTAACTTAGTTTCTTAGAGGTGAAGAACCCAAAATTTTGGTGATGGAGAAGAAGAAAAACATAGAAATTTTTTACATCTATTATACCATAATAAAATGTGATTATGGTGAACACAAATAACATTGACATTGAATATTTAATTTTATTGATTACCCATGTAGACATAATTTATTTGTCATTCATTTATAGTCGTTTAACTATGTGCCTTACTGACGAACACAATGAAATTTGGTGATGGAGAAGAAACATATTGAACCTATTTACATCTAATTTACCATAATTCAATATTAAAATGGTAAATATAAATAAATTTGAGCTTGATTATTTAATTTTAATTTTTACCTATATTATATAAAATATATGTCATGGATTATACTTTTTTAAAGTTTGTTTTTCGGTGGGGGAAAACCTAAATTTTTGTGATGGAGTAGAAAAATAAAATATAACTAACCATTTATATTTACTATACTCTATTATGTTTTTCTGCTTAGTGATAAGAAAACCTAAAACTTTGGGATGGTGAAGAAAAATATAGAATATTTTTAGATGAAATATACCATAAGTCAATGTGAATACAATGAATATAGACAATATTGAGCTTGATTATTTTATTTTAATTGTTATACATACATATAAATTATGGATCATTCATTTGTAGTTTCATAACTTAGTTTCTCAGAGGTGAAGAAACAAAAATTTTGGTGATGGAGAAGAAGAAAAACATATAAATATTTTACATCTATTATACCATAATAAAATATGATGATGGTGAACACAAATAACATTGAGATTGAGTATTTAATTTTAGTGATTACCCATGTAGATATAATTTATTTGTCATTCATTTATACTCTTTTAACTATGTGCCTTACTGACGAACACACATGAATTATGGTGATGGAGAAGAAACATATTGAACGTATTTACATCTAATTTACCATAATTCAATGTGAAAATGGTAAATATAAATATATTTGAGGTTGATTATTTAATATTAATTTTTACCTACATTATATAAAATATATGTCATGGATTATACTCTTTTAACTTTGTTTTTTGGTGTGGGAAAACCTAAAATTTTGTGATGAAGTAGAAAAATAAAATATAACTAATCACTTACATTTGCTATAGTCTACTATGTTTTTCTGCTTAGTGATAAAAAAACCTAAAACTTTGGGATGGTGAGGAAAAATATAGAATATTTTTAGATTTAATATACCATAAGTCAATGTAAATACAATGAATATAGACAATATTGAGCTTGATTATTTTGTTTTAATTGTTCTACATACAAATAAATTATGGGTCATTCATTTTTAGTCTCTTAACTTAGTTTCTTAGAGGTGAAGAACCCAAAATTTTGGTGATGGAGAAGAAGAAAAACATAGAAATTTTTTACATCTATTATACCATAACAAAATGTGATTATGGTGAACACAAATAACATTGAGATTGAATATTTAAGTTTATGGATTACCCACGTAGACATAATTTATTTGTCATTCATTTATAGTCTTTAAACTATGTGCCTTACTGACGAACACAATGAAATTTGGTGATGGAGAAGAAACATATTGAACATATTTACATCTAATTTAACATAATTGAATTTGAAAATGGTAAATATAAATAAATTTGAGCTTGATTATTTAATTTTAATTTTCACCTATATTATATAAAATATATGTTATGGATTATACTCTTTTAACTTTGTCCTTTGGTGGGGGAAAACCTAAATTTTGTGATGGAATAGTAAAATAAAATATAACTAATCATTTACATTTAGTATAGTCTATTATGTTTTTCTGCTTAGTGATAAAAAAACCTAAAACTTTGGGATGGTGAGGAAAAATATAGAATATTGTTAGATGTAATATACCATAAGTCAATGTGAATACGGTGAATATAGACAATATTGAGCTTGATTATTTTATATTAATTCTTCTACATAGATATAAATTATGTGTCATTCATTTGTAGTCTCTTAACTTAGTCTCTTAGAGGT